TAGATATGAAAAGCTCTACACTGCCTCAGCCAGAGAATTATCGGTAGTAATACGATCATACAGGGTGCTTTACCTGCTATTTTGAGAAACACTCCGCAGACTTTCTACGACGACGCCATCCATACTTTATACGTTAGTATCTAATATCTCTAATTAGTGATGGATATTTAATGCATTTTGTACAAAACGTCAGTAATTTGAACTCTGCGCGTCCGAACGCCGACTATAATCGATGCTTAGAATATTATTAAATTCTGCATAATTTTACCGGATCTACGCTACTGTCTTCAGACAATTCACTTTGTTAATGTAACACACATACGTTATGGCACATGTGCCATAGGTAAATGGTTAATGTAATATTTGTCTATTGCATTGTGTTCAATTACTGTCTTTTGACATAACAAGACTTTATCAGACAAGAATTTATTTAATGTATGCAATACGTTCATATCTATAGGGTGCCCTAGAAGTCACTCGCAATCGCAAAATCAGGGGTTCCTGAGGTCATTTGAAGTAACATTTTCCTTAGCGCAAATGCAATCAGCAGCTTTGTTTACGAGTTATTAACGGAAAATAGTGACCTCGTAAACAAAGCCACGGATTACATTTGCAATAAGGTAAAAGTTATTTCAAATAATCTCAAGAATTCCTTATTTCTCGATTGTGAGTAATTTTTGGGATACCCTGTATATATTAGGTCTTCCGGAAAGTTCTGTCTGATAATGTCATTGTAAATTTCGATACATATATTTTTGAAAAATGTTACTCACAAATTGCCGTCACGCTGGCAAGAGGTCATAAGTAATGACAGAAATTATATTCTACAATAAATATTACTAAATTTATGAAAAATATAAACGGACAGAACTTTCCGGTATACCTAATATATATATGCTGTAGAAATCGAAATCAGTTGTGAACGATTATATTATATTTTTTTATATGTTATGTTTTATGTATATTGTAATATATTTATAGTATATTATAAACAGGGTGGTCCATCTAAATAAGGCCACCTAAATATCTCCTCTAATTGTGAGGGTACAAAAAATATTTTGTATGCTATTTCACAATGGTCTGGAAAAACTATCGTATTACAATAAAAATTTGTTTCTAAGGTAATTTTTACCGTAATTTTTACCGTCATCGATGTTCTTTTGCATATAGTTGTATAATCTTTTTATTGCATCGCGTAACTGATGTAAAGATATGTTTAGTTACGTACATTACACGACTTTAAAATGACCTTCGAGATCAAAAATTAAATGAAAACGATACATTTTATGTATTTTATTTTATTTTATCTTCGTCTCTATCGAGATTTTAGAGACGAAGACGTCGTTCGGGAATCTGTAAATATAAATAATTATGTTTACTATCACACTACGAATAACTTCTGACACCGCAAAAATCTGATCATTCTCGATCAATTCGTTAGTTTATCGATATTATCGTTCAGATATGATTCTGATTTATGGGAAAAGTGATTAGTGATTAAGGCAAGTTGTTCGATTGTACCGAGAGAAATTTTCTGGACGGAACTGTCAATTGCGTAGTACATATGGAAAGATGTCAAACATTTTTTTGAAAGTGGCAGTGTCAATTCGAAGAAGCGTATGCGAACCAATAGTGTTACGAACGAATTAAATATAAGATTTGTTATGGAAAAAGTTGCTGAAAATCCGCATGTTAGTACACGACAATTGGAACGGATAACTACTATTCCCAAAACAAGGATAGTACGAATAATTCCTAAAGAAAAATTTCATCCGTATCATGTGTCTCTCCATCAGGATCTTCAAGGACAAGATTTTGAAAATCGCCTGAATTTTTGTCGATGGGGTTTACAGTAGTATGAACGGGATGAATTGTTTTTTGAGAGTATATTGTTAACCGATGAGGCATCTTTCACCAATTATGGTCAATTAAACTTGAGAAACATGCATTATTGGTCATTGGAAAATCCACATTTCCATTTAATATTTGATCTCGAAGGTCATTTCAAAGTCATGTAATGTACATAACTAAACATCAGTTACACGATGCAATAAAAAAATTATACAATTATACGCAAAAAACATCGATGACCTAGAAAACTTCGAAAAAAATTACATTGGAAAAAAAATTTTTGTTGTAATACGATGGTTTTTCCAAACCATCGAAATAGCATAAACAATTTTTTTTGTATCCCCATAATTAGAGGAGATATTCAGGTGGCCTTATTTAGGTGGACCACCCTATATAATTATATCATATTTTCATATATATTATTTGCGACTGAATCGTTCACAACTTATATCAACTAATTTCGATGAAATTTTATATATCGATATTAGTCGCGGAAATTACAGGTTTGTCACAATTTTTTATACTTTTATAACTGAAAACTAAAAAATCTTTTTACATGTTTCAACGTCTGTAGCTTGACTCTGCGTTAACTAATTTCGATGAAATGTTTCATCATGCACATAAGTTACCGAGATCTACAAAATGCATATTTTAAATTTTTGCTACAGGCTCAGATGAAAAAGTTTAAAACGAGAGTTCTTCATTTATGTTTGTCATTCCAAGGAATAGCGAGGCACTTAGTCCAGTTTTAAAAAAATTGTTGCGTTTTAAAAGGTGTACGAATACTTTAGTTCGTTGCTGTATCTGACAACATCTCCGGTTTTTAATATTTCTAAATGAAGTATGAACGAATTTTATCCCGTATCAATGGAATCCATCTGCACTGTCAAGTTTCAATTTCTTTAGATCGGAAATAATAATGTAGGAAACAATATTAAATGTAGAACATCGAATATATTATTACCTTACGATTTAAAAAATGTCTAAAATATATGTACTTGCATGATCCCAATTTCTACTCACGTTCCGACAAGCGTACTCTAGTCTGAAAGTTCTAAAAGCGTATATATATATATATATATATATATAAGTGCAAGCATTAATTATTATCTCATAATTTTAGTATTGCGTTTAAGAAGATGTTAAACAGTCAATCGAGAAACATCAAGTTCCCATTCAATTCCAATTTTTTGACAACTTTCAAAAATATTCTTTATAACTTCTTTTTGGACCTATCTTCCTTTCTTTTGCTTAGTATTGATAATTAGTAGGGCCTATAATTGTGCCTAGTGGAGTAAAAATAAAATTTGTAGAGATAATGGTGACTCAATAGATATAGATTTACATAAAAATCGTGTTTCTTATTATGACAGATATTTCTGTACTTCGATCCAATGATGAAGCACGCATTGAATTTGAAATCGATGTCATATTTTTGTATGTCAAAAGTTTTAAAGTATTTTATGATAGCATATAAGGTGGCAGTTGCTGCCTTTTGCAATTTACCTTCGTGGATGAGGATTTTTCTCTCTCATGATCATATAAGCAGAGCAAATCTATTGGACTTTGAAGATAGTATCCAAATTGCTCTGAAATCGAAATGCTTCAATATCGATGTTGTTCTATTAAAAATGAAAGAACATCGTTTCTTCCAAAACCTGAAGTGACAATGTTTACAAAGAAATCCTTTCGTTTCATAATGAGAATATTAATTTATTTTATCCCATTCATTTTATACTTTATACATTCCTAATCGTATTCTAAAATATTCTATGATTATTTAAAGCCATGTACGTAACGTCGGCGTAAATGAGTGGTGTTTAGGGTGTTCATTTTATTTTAAGTATGCATAATATCTATGTTATGGCTTATATTAGAAAAAGATGTGCAAGTGAAAAATTTCATGATTTCATTCAACGAATATAACGGTGTCACGAAAAAAGTTAAAAAAATATGTCAGGTTTCACTAACATCTTAATAACTTCAAATCATTTGGTGTAATTTCAGAAAAGTTATTCTGTTTCAAAATGTATTTGAATATTTTCTATAATATGAGAAGTACAAACATCATCTTCATTCGTTATGGTGTGCTTTTGAAGAGTGTCTCCTTGGGAGACCATTTGAAAGTGATTATACATGATCATATCACACATGATTGAATTTATCTTGAAAAAACCGACAATGAACATGAAATATTGGAAAATATGACCTCGTGGTAAAGATTTGTATCTGAATCACAATGTAAGGTGGATCGACTACGGTTGCCCTACCACAAAATTTCTGTGATGCTAAAAGTTTAGTTCCATGAGTTCCCGCAAGAGGTGCTACTGAAAAATCGGTGCTCACCAGTATATCACTTTCCTATATTATATTTGTATAAGTGTGATACTATTACGATAGTGTTGTAATGAAGTGAGTGCCGCATATACGCACACAATAGAAACTCTCACCGATAGTACGAATATTTTACAAAATCATCTCGCGGTCTGTATGAGAAGTAAATCTTTAAGATCACAGGGATAGAGATGTCCAGCTCTTCTTCTTATAATAATAACTCTATTAAAATAAAGATTCGTTTATGAGACAATTTCTGGTGTCATTACAAACAACGGAGATATTTCACGTGCACATGACAAATGAGTCACTCACAATTAAACTTGAAATGTTTCGGGTAGAAGAGTTTTAATTCACTAACTATATTTATTTATGTACGTAAGTTTAACAAACAATTGTTCACTTTAGTACCTTTATTCAATTTGTATTTTTCAGAATCATTCTAAACTGGCGTACGATTGTGTCGTGAAAATTCCTGGATTAAAACCGATAATGCCAACGGGAGCAATGTACATGATGGTAATGTATGCACATTATGTATACATATGCATATGGAGAATAGTTGTGTTAGTATGTGACATACGGGCTTAAAATAACTGGTAAACGGTTTACTTAATGAAAAAAACGTCAAATGCATTTTTATGTTTTTTTTTTACGTAGAATGCGTGAACGTAAGAAAAATTTTGTTATTAATTCTTTTCAAGGTCATTTGAAGGTTATTTAAATTATTTTGAATGGAATACCGTATTTTTGTTTCGTTACAATGAAAGGGCGTAAAAAGATGAATCCAAAACATTATTTACGACTGATTTTGAAGTGACCTTCCAAGTCGTAAAACGAAAACTTTTTCGCAACAGATAAGAATAATCTTTTTCGATCATTTATTTATTTTGTTTATATAGAATATATACGTTCAAAATTTTTTCCTTCGACTGTTAAACATTGGCGTACTTTACGCGGAAACGATCTTTTCACAGCAACAGTATTCATTTCTGAGGAGACTACGCTAATATTTAGCAGTCGAAAAAAGAAATTTTGAGCACATATTATGGACGATCTCTAATACATAAAAGGATAGAAAAACCCATCCTCATCTGTTGCACTAAAACTTTACCTTCTACGTCTTGGAAGGTCATTTCAAAGTCACTTGTAAGTAGTATTTGAATTCATTTTTTTATGCTCTTTCATTGTAGCAAAACAAAAATAAAGCATTCCATTTAAAAGAATTAAAATAATCTTCAAATGATCTTGACAAATTTAGTAAAGAATTTTTTCTTGCGTCAATGCATTCTCCGTATAAAAGAGCATAAAAAATATATTTGACTTTCTTTTTTATAACGTCAACCATTTTTACCTGTTACTTCAAACGGCATTTGTTGATGGAAACCCTGTATTTTAGCAATACCAATAGTTGAAGGGTTCGAAGGAATTAGCGCGTTTCTAGAAAAATTGTGTTTTGTGATATTCGGTAAGAAAGTTTCAATTCATTAATAAATAAAACCGTTAATAAAACCGTGCAATTACTTTTTCGTGTTTTTAATCCTATTACTGCGATATGGTGATTTATTGAAAATTATTTTTCGAAGAATGTCCATATATCTAAGAACTTTTTAATTATATTTGCTCTTTTAAAGTTATATTTTGCCTATTAAATCTTCATGCTTCTTAGAATTGTTCACCGTAATACTTAGAAATGTCTGTATCGATGCGTTCTTTTCTAATATAATAATTCAGTTACTAAAACCGACAAATGTAAATGGTACTTACCACTCTGATATCTTTTAAGGTAATCATACATCATTCAATAAGTTGTTAACATTTTCTCTATGACTTTACTAAATTTTCAGAACTTTTTTTCAGGCATTTTTTCCCGATATTAATTAATCCTCAATAATTACGTTTGTATTCCATTATATTGATTTCATCTTTCCGGAAATATTCCGACAGTTATTTCTATTTTATAATATTATTTGAATATTCTGAAACACTTATCTCGTGTATTTAATGTTTCATCTGGTTTCCTATTTTTTTTACAATTTATTCATAATATGTATTTTTTGTACAATTAGTGAAAGCTTGAAGTATAATATTACTAGACAGCAGATTTTTATGCGAAAATAATACAGCGTCATTTTGAAAATTTTTTTCATTTTTCTGCTAACACATATTAATGGAGATATCGTTCAACTTATTTTATCAGGTTTCACCATTTTATCAGATTTTTAGTAACTGACAATTTTATATCTTTTTAGATGACGCACACTCTATAATACGTAATCGAATTGAGAAATATTATACGAATCTAAACAATACGAATTATGAGCCCCTTTCTTTGCTGCACAAAATGATTAACTTTTCTCACAGTCATTATACTCATTTCAGGAACCTAAAATAACAGTTGTTTGGAAAATTTTTACGACAAAATCAGTAACAAAATTGTGTTTATTATTCAAGTTGATGCTGTTAATCACGAAATGTAAATGAAACTGTTCAGAAAACCACTCAAAGACTGCAACAGTTATCGACGAAGAATATTTATTTACATTGTTTCTAACAATAAAAGAAATTGTATTTTGCAAGGTACTAAATAGTTTCACGTTCTACCAAAACGATTGTCCAGTATTCGCACCAAAGCATTCTTTTGTTGCTCCAAGAAACGAGAAAATGAGAACATTATTCTAATGACATATTATGCGCTGCTGCGTAATAACTTTGTTATTGTTGTGGGATTGAAACAATTTACAACTTCAGTAACGTAGACATGAACCTCTTGAAATCATTAACATGTTAAGCGCCAAGCCTGTTTTGCCTTCCTTTTCGATTAGCCCGCATTATTAAATTCTGTCAGTTCTTCAAACTGTATTAATAATACTTATTNGTTTCACCATTTTATCAGATTTTTAGTAACTGACAATTTTATATCTTTTTAGATGACGCACACTCTATAATGCATAATCGAATTGAGAAATATTATACGAATCTAAACAATACGAATTATGAGCGCCAAAGATGGAAAAAAGTGTTCTATGCTAACTGTCAAGATTCATTTGCCAGCATCGTCCTTATGCTAACATTCAATATTTTCAGAAAAAATATACATTAAAACCAATATTTTATCCCCTTTCTTTGCTGGACAAAATGATTAACTTTTTTCACAGTCATTATACTCATTTCAGGAACGTAAAATAATAGTTATTTGAAAAATTTTGACGACAAAATCAGTAACAAAATTGTGTTTATTATTTAAGTTGATGCTGTTAATCGCGAAATGTAAATGAAACTGTTCAGAAAACCACTCAAAGATTTTAATTTTTGATTACAAATGACAATTACAGTTAACCGGACATTTTACTCATTGCAAGTAATCATTATTGATGACGAAAATTCTATTTCGATTACTTGTAATAATTTTCGACTAAAGGAATTGTATCCGCTTATTAACAGAATTTATCAGTGAGGGTAATTTTGTGTTGGTCGTTCATAGTAGTTATCAGTGACAGAAACTTTATTTCAGTTGCAACAGTTGTCGACGAAGAATATTTATTTTCATTGTTCCTAATGGTCAACAATAAAAGAAATTGTATTTTACAAGGTACTAAATTGTTTCACATTCTATCAAAACGATTCCCAGTATTCGCACCAAAGCATTCTTTTGTTGCTCCAAGAAACGAGAAAATGAGAACATTATTCTAATGACATATTATGCGCTGCTGCGTAATAACTTTGTTATTGTTGTGGGATTGAAACAATTTACAACTTCAGTAACGTAGACATGAATTAACATGTTAAGCGCCAAGCCTGTTATGCCTTCCTTTTCGATTAGCCCGCGTTATTAAATTCTGTCAATTCTTCAACCTGTATTAATAATACTTATTACAAATTTTGTTGGTAACAAGTAATGTTTAGTGATGTTCTTTTATGATCACCAAATTATTTAAAATTTGTTTATATAAAAGAATATTATTTTTGAAATTTTTTCATTGTGACTGACACGACGCTTACCGTGTTAATAAATTTATATGAACACAAAATATGCGATGTGCTCCGTACAATGGCATGTTTTACTTGTTTAGTGCGTGTATTTATCCCCTAAAATATTGGCATATTTTTACGAAAAACTCTGTATAATATGTGACCGAAATTTAATTTCTCCCAATTATAACTACTATGCACGATCAAAACAGAATTTCCCTCTCAGATATTATTATATATTATGTTATAAGCATCTGAAATGAATGTTGTCCCAAGATAGCTGTTTCAAGCAAGTAGAGTAATTTCTTAAACAATAACTCTTTTAATTAACCCAAAGGAATGCTCATCAATAATGATCGTGACTAACGAAAATGTAACTACGATCACATATGACCATTACCTACAATTAAAAACTTTTGGATCAAAATAATAATTGTTCTTCGACGACTTTTTTCATATCAGTTATGACAGTTATGTTAATAGTTGCAAAAATTACTTATATTTGTACAGATCTATAATAACTATTACTCATAACCAAAACCGTTTGTATAAAAATAATAATTGTCTTTCCACGATTTTTTTTCATATTGATTGCAACAGTTATAGTTCGTGGCTAATTTGATCACACATTTGAATTTTACATTAAAATTAAAATAAAAGCATAGTTGCGCCAGGGAAAATGTTTCGTATGACTTTTTCAGTGCTAAATAAATCAATCAGAAGTGATCTCTTTCGCTGAGAAGTTTGTATAATTAACCGGGTATTGAGTGCGATTTATACGTGCTCGCGAACACGGGTGCCGTTAAGGCCGATCGGTCGCAATTTACCGGCTATAAATTATCCTATCGGTTTCCAGGTTTACATAGATCTACTCTCTTTTCCGGAATTTAATTCGGATCTGGAATTTGTGCAACGACTACTAATGGAGGAGTCCGTGTTTTGCCTTCCAGGCCAGGTACGCCGTTCAAATCCTGCATCCAATCGTCCAATGTTCGCCGCTAATTACACGATTTTCGACTATTTTTTCACAGTGTTTCGATTATCCGTCCTACATGAGACTGGTCATTACGGTGCCAATGGATATGTTGGACGAGGCTTGTCACAGGATCCAGGAGTTTTGCGAAAAACATCATTACAAAACCGCCGAAGCTGTACGGAGGAACAATTTGGCCGACACAGAAATTCCTTACTGAAACGAAACGCGCTTACAATGTTAACGAAACAAAGTTCTAACTTGCCAGTAACAAAGGCCTACGAAAGAACGCACGAGATAAGGGTTTGACACAGTTTGGCCAGATCTAGACATTTCTCCCACTCCACCCTTCACCTTCTACGACACTGTTCTCTCAACTTTCGGTGGCGAGCATCCCCACTCTTCATCCACATGCGCACGACGCAGTTTTAACCTATTCTCTTTCGTAACATTCTGCAATGCTGTCCTACCTTCCCTCAAAACAAAATGTAAATGTATATAGAATGTTCTAAAAGTCACTCGCAATCGAGAAATGAGGGGTTCCCGAGGTCATTTGAAATCACTTTTTCCTTAGCACAAATGCAATCCGCGGCTTTGTTTACGAGTTATGAACAAGAAATGCTGACCAATGAGAGGCGAGATCAGCTGGCGCGAGGCGGCCAAGCCCACTGGGCTTTGTCCGCTCGTTGGCTCGGCCGCCTTACGCCAACCGAGCTCGCCTCTCATTGGTCCGTGTTTTTCGTTAATAACTCGTAAACAAAGCCACGGATTGCATTTGCGCTAAGAAGAAAGTGATTTCAAATGACCTTGGGAACCCCTCATTTCCTGATTTTGAGTAAATTTTGGGATACCCTGTATAATATATTAAAATATATAAAATTCACACGTGGCGATAATCTCAAATTTGCAATCATATCACGTCTGTCATTCACTATCATGCACGTCACGGCTTACTCCACGTGGCGGAGCCTCCAACAATTCGCGTTGCGTCTGCGCCTGCGTCAAGGTCGTATTAGTATTGGGTTGGCAACTAAGTAATTGCCGATTTCAGTTACAGATGTCTCTCACTCCCATTTCTATGATATCCGTAAATGTTATATTATACAATTATTATTATTATTATTATGTTATTTTTTATTATCCGTGAATGTTAGCAACTGGATAAATTGAATGCAGCGGTCAAGGAAAAGCGACCAGCATTGGTCAATCGTAAAGGTGTCATTTTCCAGCAGGACAATGCTAGGCCGCACACGTCTTTGTCCACTCGGCAAAAATTGATGGATATTGGTTGGGAATTGATGTTACACCCACCGTATAGCCCTGATCTCGCGCCATCGGATTACCACTTATTTCGATGCCTGGACAACTCCCTTCGTGGTAAAACTTTTAACGATGATGACGCTGTAAAATCTCACTTAACTCAGTTTTTGGCCGAAAAGGATCAGACTTTCTACGAGCGTGGAATTTTCAAGTTGTCAAAGAGATGGCAAAAGGTCATCGAACAAAATGGAAAATACATTACAGATTAAACTTCATTCCAAGTAAAAAGAAATTTTTTATTTCATTGAACAAGTCGGCAATTACTTAGTTGCCAACCCAATAATAATAAGGGGGGATCTGTATTCCCCTCACTTTTCGTAATCTCTAGCCATACTGGTCTGACAAGTACTGAACAAGATAGAACGATCTCGTGAGCTATACTACGATATTTTCTCTCATTGAGTTAGACCTTTGTGTAATTAAGATATATTACGCTGTTCAGATATAATTGTATCTTACAATTGTACATATTGGCTGAAAGAATGACCACAAATTCCTTTTTTTTCTTATTCACGTTAGCTGTATTTCATTGGTATATCATCCTAATTAAAAGTATGATACAACCGATCAGAGACAATATCAACGATTAAGATTAAGGATCTTTCTTTTTCAATGTTATATAGTTTTTTTTAATATTTTATAAATATCAAATAAATAATAGAGAGTAAACAACATTAGCTGCTGTCTTTGTTTACTTTCTTTTATATTGATCTTAATTCATAGTTGCCAAATGATTTCTAGTGGTTTATTAACATAAACCTCGTTGAAAGTAGGTGTGACGCTGGCTTATGCTGAAATGAAGCGGCGAAAGTTTATGCACTTATGATATGTAATGAATATGCATGTATATGCAAGAATATGCAAACTGCATGCAAGATATATGTATGTATATACAGCATAGATTTGGCAAATATGCACTTACGTAGATACTAAAAAATTCGTAAAATTGTTTAATCAATGCATTTAATATTCTATACAATGTGAAGTACATAAAAATGTATTTAACATTACACGAACTAGTCTAAAAAATAATTATCTCATACATATTGTGTGTATTATTCAAATATTAACCTTATGATATTAAAAACAAAATATGATATTATACATGTTATACAAATATAACATTTGTACATGTTTACTACTATATTAAACTCCATTAACTTTTTAATCTATTTACTGTATACATTTATAAAATATTAAACTTGGTTACCTTTAGGAAATTTTTATGTATTTGATTATTAATATTATACTATATATAACACTTCTAAAGAAACAATAAAGAATTTGTATTGTGTTTGTTAAGTTTCAAATATTGATATCAAGACGTTGTTTAATACTTGATGTACGTACCCTGATGTATATCAGGGTCATATACTACATGGTCATGCATGCATAGACGGCACAGTGATGTGATTGACAGACAACGAGGCTATGCGCGGCTTACCGGCAGTATGCGTTTGCAAGGCTATAAGGTAACAGTACCTGTTATGAAACACCGTTCAATTGTGACCCGTTTGTGAAACAGTAGCACAAATAATACAATAAAAAATAGAGAGAGCAGGTGAGGGTGGATGTAAAAATTCTACCTATATTTTTCAATATTCTTTTTTATAAATTCACTGACAACAATACTGTTACATAACAATCAACTCTAAAAAAAAATATTTATTCGAATATAGGTGTTTCAAAACAATATGGAATATACTGTTTCATATTGTGTTTACTTCAATTGTTTCATTGTCCCGATTTATGAAACACGAGGACATGGTGCGAAAACAATGTTCCACGTATATTAAGTAAATATTTCGAAGTTCATTACGTGATCTAGAAACATCAATCTATCGAACAGTAACATAAACATTCAAGAATAACACTTCTCAGTTGTAATAAAATTGATGCTGATCTTATACCTCCTGAAAAGCGTTCCACAATAAGTACTTTTAACTGTAATGGCTAGTGAAGCACGCCGCCCAATGGTACCTTATACCGAATAGTTGGCTAAAATGCCGTTTTCGAAATATTAACTGATCGAATTCTTGCTGTTTTTCTATTGAAAAATAGAAATATTTTATTCAAAATATTATTTTGAAAATAAATTTTTGGAGACTGTAACTGTTTATCATAAAAAATGGGTAATAAATGGATTCCACAGTAGAAAAAATAGAGGTTCCATCGAAACGATCCAGACATCAACCTAGTTTTGAATACACTCGTAAGAATTGAAGTGCTGCTCAGAGAGGCCGTACTGCATGGGCCGAAACGAATGATAATCTGAAGGAGCAATGTCTGACGAATACAGTGGGTGGGGTAAGACATCCCAACCAAGTGCTTCTAACGTTTCTTAATGCTTAACCTCCACTAGAAGACGATGACTTTCAGCAGCAGACTTCTTGAGGCGGAAACAGAAAGGTAATGCTTCCCGCAAATGCTCCTTTTAGGTACGAAACCCGACATCTTTAATGGGATAGAAATTGTGTTTTATCCACTACGAACAAATGTCACGCACTGCTTATTGAAGTGCACTAACAGTACTCCATCAGCAGTAATTTTTCGCCATATTGAAATAGCAGAATTACTGACCTGTGTTAATTAACAGCGAGAATTAACTCACACAATTAATATGGAGGATGTCCTGGCATCGTTGATACAATTGCATAGTGGTTTATTCTACATGAAAACAAATCGGAAGTAAGGAATAAAATGTTTTCATCTGAAGCTCTTCGATGTCGAGGAAATAGACTTTAAATATTCAGCCAGTACACGTACATGTAACTATGGTTTATAAGGACGGATCTCGATAGAAGACATGCACAGTTTGTAGGGTGCACAGCGAGTACTAAAACTCAGCGATTACAAAATCTCTCGGGTTGTAAGGTCGATTACGCTAAGCGACGGAATTGATTAGTATCGCTGTTCGTCTAATTAAAGATGAATAGCTGTTTCAATTTTGACGAATGAATTGAAACACTATAAAGCACTCAATTCGATGGTCGAAGGTTGAAAGATTATCTGAGTAGTAGACTAGCGTGGGCTGGAGTCTACAGTAGTTGACTGAAGCTGAGTTGACTGATTAACTGAATAGTAGACTAGCGTGAGCTGGAGTCTGCTGAAGTTGACTGAAGCAGATTGACTGCAATTCAGAACTTGGTTGAAACGGACAGCGCGTGCCTGTTGAAACAAAGTCGCGGACTAGAGACCGAGCGAGAATGACTGAGTTTAACTGACACTGACCGACGAGATGACGAATGACTAAGACACCACTGACTGACGAATGACAAGACAAAGATTGACTGACGAATGAATGACTTTATTGCCAGAAAGAAGACGGCTCGAAAAAATCATAAACTTAGAAATTGCAATGAAGAAGGCTATGGATCTACGAAATTGAAAGCCTAACGAACATGACCTTCTGTCGATTGCACGTCGTTCGTTGAAGGACTGTTAATTTGTCTCTCTGAGCTGAAGATTCCCCGTCAATAAAATGTTATTTAGGGATAAAAGAAAAAGGTAATTCGTTCCGGAGAAAGTTAGGCGGACACAGCACGAAAATTCCGTTGAAGGACGGAACACAGTGTGACAATTAATTTTTAAGACTCGATTAATAAAACACGATAGATACAAAATACACGAAATCTCATGTTGTTGTATTCAAAATAATCTCCTGTTGATTCAATGCACTTGTTATAGCAACTCAAAAGCAAGGTTCAGCTCATTTTGTGATATTGCCTCTAGTTCCCGTGTTAACCTTTTACGTACGGCTGAATTCTGCGCGAGGCTATTTCTCTGAACGGCAGTACACTGATGTGTACTGTACAGAGTCTGATACTGTATATACAGGGGGTGTCCCAAAAATGCCTCGCAATCCGAAAGTGGCGGGTTCCTCGGGCCATTTGAATCAACTTTTTCCTTTACAAAAATTTTCTCCGAGGCACCGTTAACGAGTTATTAACGAAAAACAGTGACCAATGA